CTCTATAATGCTTCATTATTCACTGTGTCCTTTTCAATTCTCCCTCTCTATATGCCACTTAATCTTTTTTCAGGTCTCATAAGATGCACTATTGAAAGGGAAGTGACGAACAAACTAGGCAAAGACAGCATTTAGCTCTTGTGTTTAGTCAATGTGAATTTGTGGATAAAATTGCTAAAGCAATGTAAGTGACCTTTGATTCATTAAAACAAAGTGGGAGAAATCCCTAAAGATTAAAGCAGCAAGAAATCTTAACTGTCAAAAAGAGAAAAACAGATCCCTAACCACAGGACTATAGAAGAGGAAAGGTTTGGTGACAATTCTGTTCAATAATATCCAAGCAGATCAAAAGGAGAGTATTCAACAGAAGCAGACGGATTCACTGAGAATAAACTATGCTGGTCTAAATCCTCATTTACTCTGAGTTACTAGACTAGTAGGTGAGACGAATACTCGAAAAAGGAATGTCTGGACATCCACCAAATTCTCTTCTGATAGGCTATGGCAGGGTGCCTAACCTCTGTATTGCTGACATTTTGAGCCAAATAATTACTTGTTGTGGGGAGCTCTCCTACATACTGTAGGATGTTTAGTAGCAGCTCTGGCCTCTACCAATTAGATGCCACAGCATCCACGAGTTGTGATGACCAAAAACGTCTCCAGATACTGCTAAAGGTCTCCTGTAAAGCAATGTCAACCTAGGCTGAGAGGCACTGATTCATGCCAAGATGGAGAAATATAAGTAACAATAAGATTTATGCGTAGTAATAGAACAGCTATTCATAAGAAATAGAACAGCTATATTCTGGGTGCTGATAATGGATCGTGTCAATTTTGCAAAAAGTTTATTTTTCCCTTAATACCAAATAATTTTACTAATAATTCAGAAAGAAATACAAAGACAGGCTTATCAAATTTGTATAAGATACGAAGTGAGATGATATTAAAAAATAAATGGATATGGGATATCCAAAGAACTGGATTCTTCCACAGTGTCACACTGTGCAACCTTCGATTGAAAATTGCCTGAAAATAAGTTTTCATAAAGTAAATCAGCCCTAATATTAGGTAGTTTTGAAGATCAAATGAGACAGCTATAATATATAAACTGTATAATAAATAATGCTATTCTATTCCATAGTCAGTAAAATGTGTTTTGAAAAATTTTTTTAATGGTATACAAGATAAAATTTATTTTAACATTATGGAAGAATTCTCCCTGCCTTTCACTCTAGACACAGCGGTGTCAAATAAAGACATTCCTATACAAAAGATACTATAATTAAGAAAATACAAGCCATAATACAATATTAAGCCGTATTAATCTGATGTTAATCTGTGAAAGCTTATAAATTAAAATTTTAAAGTAGATATTTTCCTTATATAATGTTAGAAAGTACTAAATAATGCATTTGAAATAGCACTGATTTCCAAACTCCCACCCTATTCTCTCTCCCTTGTATACACAATACCTAAATCTCCATGTTAAGTCCTACCAGAACCCTTTATATTTATCTCAAACTTCTCTCTCCTCCAGGAAATGTTTCCTGAAACTCCAAAATAAAAATTATCTTTCCCATACCTGAATATCCTTGGAAGATTATTTTTATCATTGTTTGTTAATTTTTTCCTTATTATAATTTTCTCATAAAAGGTTTATCTCCCCAATAGACTTGAAGCCCTTGAAGACAGGACTAAGCTTTACTCTTATACCTATTTCATAGATTGTGCAGTATACTGTTGTGCGCATACAGTAAACACATCTTGTTTGTTAAATAAATGTGGATTTAATAATGTTAAATAAAAGTATTCAAATTTAAAATAAAAGAAATAAATGACAGAATCAGGATACAAAAGCCTAGAATCAACCTGGATTAACAAGATACAAATCTGAGACTTTATTCCAGAAAGACATTTAACAATAAGTGTAAAGTCTCTTTTCTGGACCTGAGAACTGGAAAAGAGTTGACTTAATAATAGCATATGTATATGTATATATTAATGGTGCTTTGATTCATAAAATAAATAAGCATCAATGGAAAGAGAAAATGCTAGGTGGGGGGAAGGCCTCATAAAAGCAATGTGCCCATAAGCAGAAAGTAGAAGCCCCACCCTCTTCCTCATAATATAGGTGAGTAAACTACATTCTTAAAATGAATGCCACTTCATTTCAAGAAATACATTTCTCTTTTAAGTAATCACAGTCATCACTGTGAATTGCCCATTTATTGTTAAATACATTATATTGCAATGAAGCATAAACAAGTATGTTCAGATTAATAATCCAACATCCAAAATTAGAATAAGAAAAATTAAATACATAATATTAAATTCTATGCAGAATTTTAAAAGAATGAGTTAAGGATCTTTCTGTATTTAAAGAAAGGAGGAGACAGGCTGAGGAAAAGGGGAAGGAGGAAGGTAAGGAAAGAGAGAAAGGAAGGGAAGCAGGGAGGGAGTTGAAGACATTAAGTTACAAAAAAGCAAGCTGCAGAAATTTTTCAGTAAGATGCCACTCAAATAAATCCATGTATATATGTGTACATATGTGTGTATCAGGACTTTGCAAAGGTGGCCAGATCTAAGAGGGGGGCCTCTTAATAGAAAAGTTCATTTGCACAATGTATCCGAGCAGATATTTAACAATAAAACAAAAAGGTTAAAGAGCTGATCTGCCACCTGCCATAGTGAAGAACTATCTTAGCTTACCAAAAAATTTCACAGGTAATATGTTCACATCACTTACATAATGTCTTTGACCATTTGAACAACTTTATCATATATAAATGTCTCAGAGAACATACAAAGCTCTCTGTGGGCTCCTTTTGCTTTTCTTTTTGACTGTCTACTATCATATGTATCAGGCACTGGGTCTGGCCCTTTTGTATACATCATCCCATTAAGACTTCCCAATAAGCCCATGCAATCAGTGTTTCTGCTTTACAGAAAAGGAGAAAGACTCACTGAGCTTGAGACCAAAGTCACATAACTGCTGGAAGAGAACCAAGGATGTACCCTCCAGGCTGGGCTTCTGACTTTCCAGTCTCAGCTTCCTTCTACAACACAAGGAGTTTCTTTCTTGCTTCATTCCTTACTTACTGACCAATTTATCTAACATGAGTACCTTCACACTCTCAAATAATGGCCTATATACGTAAGCAAAGTTTTATTGTTACTTATATCTCTGAAAACCTTGGCCTTTATCTGCAAATTCCAATAACATTAAAACTTTAGGTTGTATGGTATGTGAATTTTATCTCAATAAAGCTGTTATTGAAAAAAAAATATTAAGCATGCTAATAATATCAACTCTTCACTTATCCTAATAGTAGTAATCATGGATAGCATGGCTGAATGAAGCCCATAGTAATCCAAAAATCTAATCCGTAACTCAGCTGTGAAAATGTTTACAGACCAGTCTCTTACCATTGCTAACTATTTAAGACTCTCATTACTTCACTTCTAGATTACTACAAATTCCTTGACTTTCCTAATTATTGTTTCTCTACTCTTTATCCCACCCTGAATACTAGGAATCTAGCAATCACTCTTCTTTAAAAATATTTTTTATTGAAATATAATTGGTAAGTATATCTTATTAGTTTCAGGTACATATCATGGTCATTCAATATTTATATAAACACAAAATGATCACCAGAGTAAGTCTAGTTATCATCTGTCACCAAAGTTATTACTCAATTGTTGACTATATTCCCTATGCTATATACACCTTATGACTACCTTGAAACCAATAACTACTTGATGGTAGACATCATAGGTCCAGGAACCACATCCTCATTCCTGAACCCCTTCCCACTTTTTGATGGCCTATATACAATCTTGTCCTAAACAGCCTTCAGAGAGCATGTCTTTTCATTCTCCCTTGTGCACAAGTCAGTCGGTCTGTTTCAGTCTTTCTCTTTCTTTCTCTCTCACTCTCTCTCTTTCTCATAAACTCTATATGTTCAAATTTATTCTAAGTTCAGTGTTAATTTCTATGACATTGAGATTTAAGAACCTGGTTTTTCAATTCGGTAACACTTGGAGTCTTTAGACGTCTTTTATATCCACAGCACTTAGTATCTGGGACATAAAAGACATTCAATAAATGTTTGTTGAATATAAGTTGTAATATGCTGTGACAAAATAATGTGGCTTTTAACCTAGGTGTATTCACTTCACTAGCAATATAAGTAGCAGAGTGCAAAAATAATGGTTTCAGAGGTTTTCCCCAGTATGAACAAATCAGTGAGGCATCAGATGCACTCATGGTTCCTTCAAGCATATCTATTGAGGAATCACTTCAACAGGCTCTGACCTTTTTATTCCTGTTATGGTCACCTCTGGGAGTTAACAATGCTAGAATCAAAATGACTTTATAATAAACCGATCAGAGGTTTTTTTTGTCCTAAGATGACAATATAATTCAGGGCTCCTCCCCATAAAAGAATATTATCTATGAAGCATTTATATTATGAAATGTTAAGATTAGTGCATGAATATTTATAAATGTCTTTTGCTTTTCAACCACTGAAAACTGATCAAACAGAAATAAATTTAAGTATAAAAACAATAATTTTTTTTAAAGCCAATGCTAAAATTTCTAGTGTCACCAGACAATACCAAAAATTCAGGTCACATCCGTGCTAGATTATAAATCACAAATATGAATAATTATTATACACCTAGATTAGTATGACATCAGCATGCGAGATACAAACTTACATAAAAAAGTTCTAAAACAATCCAATATTTTAATATGTGATCCAAAATAGAGCTTCAACTTATATGATTCAATACAGAGCACTTTTTAAAAAATTCCATTTCCCACAGAAAATGCCAAAAATAATTACAGACTTCCCTTGGTAAATATAATTCAACACAGCAAAAAAAGCAATTAATTCAATTCAAAGTGAAGGAGGTACATTTAGACAGCAATGAGAAGCACAAAGACAAACACTGCTTCTCTCTAAAACATTAAACATATTGAGTACCTTTACCTGTTTCTGAAATGTATGTAACAGGATCCGTCCGTATAATTTTACCAGGTTTAGGAGACAATGACAATTTTTCTGGTTCCTTTTGGGCATTTTTTACCTGCACTGTCTCCTCTGATTCTGAATCTGCATATGAGAGGAAAATAAAACAAAACTTTGAAAGAAATATAATGTAGTATGTTTTTAAAGTGGTTCATGTTAAACAATTCTTCAAGGCCCTTTTGAAGCACATCCCTTCTGCAGTTCTCACAGGTTGCTAAGCCTTTGTATTAGTTTTCTATTGCCACAAATCACCACAAACTTAGTGGCTTAAAACAACACACATTTTTTATCTTACAGTTCTGTAGATTAGAAATCTCATATGTGTCTCGCTGGGCTAAAATCAAGAGTCAGCAGGACTGAGTTCCTTTCTGAATAGTCTAAGGAAGAATCTATTTCCTTTCCTCTTCCGGTTTCCAGGGACTGCATTCCTTGTCTCATGGCCCCCTTCCTCCACCTTCAAAGCCAGCAACATCAGCCGAAGTCCTTCTCATGCTGCCATCTCTCTGGTTCTCTAACCTTCTTCCACAGTCAGTCTCTCTCTTATCCTGCTTCCTTGCTCCTTGTGACTATATTGGGCCCAACCAGATAATCCAAGATTATCTATTTTGAGGTCATTTGATTAGCAACTTTAATGTCACCCACAACTTTAATTTCCCTTTGCCATGTAAACTAACAATTCACATGTTCCAAGAATTAAGGCAGATAAATCTTTGGGGGCCATAATTCTGTCTACCACCAACTAATCTCCCAGAGCACTTAAATACAAACCAGGACAAAATGTAAAAACCTAGTATAGTGCCTGGCACATAACTTTAGTGTCCTTCCTCTTCGCCACGCATTTAGAAATCCAGTCTCATATTATTCTAAATTGTGTTAAACAATTAAACTTCCAGTTTCCCAAAATATGGAAATTCCTGAAGACTGGGGATACGTACTTCTCTCAAATTCCTCACAATATGTGACAGTAAAAGACTCATGATAAACACTCAAGTACTGTTAGAATTGAGTCAGAACATTTGCTATCATTGTCAAAATCCTAACAATCTATAAATGCTTCCTTAGGTTGTATTTTTAAGAATTCACACAAGATGGATCTTCTCTACAAAAGGAAACCCTAAAACTCTCTGAATTCTACCATTATTTTATCATATCATAAAAGGCAGGCATAAAAATTCATGTTCCCTATCTTAAAACTATATTAGAAGTAAGGCTTTTCAATTGTGCTTGTCCTATTTTAAACACAACAAAAAAAGACCAGATTGAAAGCACAAAAATTAAAATTTAAATTTGTTTCTAAAGCAATAGTCTAAGGCATTATTTTTTCAAGTTCAGTTTCCAAGAACCTCAGCTGGAGAGTAAGGTAACATGAATATTTTTAACAATAAATATAACATATTCAAAGTAAGTTTGAGACATGCTCTATACCATATCCCTCTCTGAGAAAATCTTTAATACATTAACATGTTTATAGGCTCTGATAAATTCTGCAGTATAATAAAATCGTTTTCAACTTTATTTGAGCATAGAGCTCTCTTCACACAGCATCTATTACCATCATAGATAGCTGTGTGTCTCAGAAGATCAGTTTGAAAAACTCTGTTCTAAGGTATTGAAAATAATTTTAAAACTTTAAAACCCCTCGGAAGAAATATTACCTGAATCATAGATGACCCTCTTTTTCTTGTTTGGTTGCTTCTGTTTAGAGTCATCTTCTTTACAAGAACTATTTACCTATAAACATCATAGTATAATTAGAACACAAAGAAGTCTATATAACTTAGCTGTTTTTTTTCCCTCATTACTTAGGCTCAGACATTCTCAAATAGAGGAAATTCTGCATCCAGGAGACATTTTTACTTGTCATACCTGGGGAGGAGTGGAAGTGGTGATTTACTGGTACCTAATGGTGGGGAGGAGTGGGAGTGGTGATTTACTGGTATCTAAGGGGTAGACCAGGAATGCTACTAAACATCCTACAATGCACAGGATAGTCCTACACCAAAAGAATTACCTGGCTCAAAATGTTAGTAATATACTTATTAGGTTAAGGAGTAAGCCAAACAATAATTGCATCAGATGAGAAAGAAAGAATTATAAAAAATAAATAAATAAAAAGTTGTATTACTGTTCAGCTCCACTTTCAACACTATCTTACGTGTAACAAAGAGTAAAAGGATGTCAGATATTACAAGGCAAGTCCTTCCTGAAAATGGCAGAGACAGAAATAAAAGCTAAGGGGTTATGAGCCCACAACCCAATGCCTGTTAGCAAACTAAATAAAATCAGGGCAAATAAGACTGTTTATAACTTTTAGTTATACATCATATTTCCAATCTATTCAAATTTTCTCAAAAAGCATCAGGAAAGTAGACAGGAAAAAACTGACTGTAATCAGTTACAAGGTAGGAATGTGTTTTCAGCAATTGCAATAAAACTTCAAAAACATAAAAATAATCAGCTAACTGCAAGAAAACCAGATTAATGAACCATTATACTTCAAATACACCACTGAACTAAGGACAGAATTAGAATCAGTTACAATAACTCAACAGTAAGAGAAGAGGGTATCTGAGAAGGAAGAGAATCATAGAAGGGGAGTCCCAAATCCTGTCAATAAACTTAGCCAAGTCTGGGGCTGTTTCTTCAAACATGTATGCATGGAACAACTCTAAGTGCTCAGCTAAGGTGAACAAAGATTTCAGGTGCTGTCCATCGCAAGGAATACAAGAGTTTGAAGTTTGGGTTCAGCAAAGTTTATTGCGTGCTAAAAGAAATAACAGTTTTTAGAAGAATATAACAGAATACAAAGTTCCTACACTAGACATACAAAGAAATAGGAAATTTAACCTATGATGGTTGATTTTATGTGTTGATTTAAAAAGTGCCCAGATATTCTGAGTGTTTCTATAAGGGTGTCTTAAGATGAGTTTAACGTTTAAATCAACAAAATGAATAAGGCAGATTGCTCTCCCTAATGAAGGTGGGCCTCGTCCAATAAGTTGAAAGCCTGAAAAGAACAAAAGGCTGACCCTCTTCCAAATATAAAAGAATTCTTCCTGACTGCCGTCAAGCTGAAACATCAGCTCTTCTTGGGTCTCAAGCCTGTCAGCCTTCAGACAGGATCCACACCACCAGCAGTCCTTGTCCACAGGCCTTACTCAGACTTGAACTGCACCATCAGCCGTCCTGGGTTCCCAGCTTGCCAACTGTAGGTCCTGGACTCTGTTGGCCTCCATTATCACATGAATCAATTCTAATAAATCTCTTTACACACACACACACACACACACACACACACACACACACACACACCACACCACACACCACACACCACACACCACACACATACTTGGTTCTGTTTCTCTAACAACCCTTACTAATACAGATTTTGTTACTGAGAAGTGGAGTATGCTATAACAGATACCTAAAATATGAATGTGGCTTTGGAAATGGGTAATGGTGGAGGCTAGAGGAGTTTTGAGGTGCATGCTAGAAAAAGCCTAGACTGCTGGGAAGGGAATATCGGTAGAAATACTGGCATTAAAGGTGATTCTGGCATGGTCTCAGGAAGAAAAGGTACAGAGAAAACCTCTATCGTTGAAGAGAATACGTATATCACCATAAACAGAATATTGGTAGAAATATAAACATTCAAGGTCATTCTGGTAAGGTCTTATATGGATATGAGGTTACCTACAGAAGGCGATCCTTGTTATGCAATAGCAAAACTCCTGCCTCCAAAATAATGCTTTCCTCCAAAGCCTTCCCTAACCAGAAGTCCAACACTATTCACCTGGGGACAGGACTCATCTCTATAAGCAAACTTTGGCCTTAAAGTTTTAACAACTAAAATGTGTTCCATCTCTACTTTAGGAAAGCATCAATCTGTGAATGCTGTAAGCCATATTAATTAGAAATAAGTTAATACCTTACCCCTTATTACTTTTCTTCTTCCTCTGCTAAATGAGCTGAAGTCTTTATTTACTTAAGGCTTCCTTGAGTCCTATCAAGTCTAGGAACTGATTTTATTCAACCTGTCATACAATTCTAAATTGTACTTAGAAAACTGACCTTGATTTCCTTTATTCCTTTCTTTGCTTTGAAAGTTTCTTCAGCAGACTTTGTTTTCTCATTCTTCTTTACTGTTTCACTTGCAGGTTTCTTTTCACTTGGGATAACCCCAAAGAATTTCCGAATATCCTAAAAGCAAATGAAGAGATTCATAAATAAGTATTAACTGCACAAAATTCTAATTTCAATTGTAAAAAGGGATAGCTCTATACACGCATTGGTTTACTGAGAAATTTCATCACAGTGACATAGTTCTATGTGTATAGCAACATTCCTTTTGTATGCAAAAGTTCCTTTTGTTTGCCTAATGAAAAGTAATATTAATTCTCAGAATCTGGCCAAAACAGGGCAAAAATAAGCAAGTGAAATTTTTGTGAACAATAGCATAATTATTAAAGAAGCAAGTAACAGGTATTTATTGATCATGCATGCACATATTCATCCCACCATCCCAGGTATAGGAGGAGACAAGACAGAGTTAAAGAATGTAATCCTTGCCCATGTGATTTATACTCCAGTTTGAGAGAATAACTCTCACAATCCTAATCATTTAATACCTGAATAACGAAGAACCTCGACATTACTGTCCTTTATATGGGTTTTCCAAGTTCTGAAGAAAAAATGTTGCTTTGTTACAACCAACATTATGATATTCTGTTTAATTACTCTACCCACCACCCCACGATTGATTCATATCAATTGTATTGAAACATTTAAAATGTAATTTATTATTAAAATCACTGTCTTTCCTTACCCTTTCCACACATACCCTTCCCTATCCTTTTAGATTTTAGAGAAAAGGGAACAGACCTTTGAATCAAAAAGCCTTGGTTTGGTTCTCTGCTTCTAGTGCCTTCTATCTGTGTGATCTTAGGCAAGTTAATTTATCTGAGTCTGTTTTCTCATTAATAAAGTGGGAATAATAATATTTATAATTTATGAGGATTAATTATGCTTTTATCACAATTTTGGCTCAGTAAAAAGCTTCCTTTCTCCTCATTTATGAACTTCATACCACTGAAACATGTCCATTTACAATTATTTCTGCTCACAGGCAAAGGTATAGGGAGCAGAATAATGAGAATTAGGCTGAATTCCAAAAAACTGGGTTCAAGAGCTAGTTGTAGCTTTTTCCCTTTTCTTATCTTTGATGGTTATAATTCTGAATTTTCAATCCTTTTTACCTGTTCCAATCTCTCTCTTTTTATTGTAGTGAGGAAAATGCCTGTAAAAGTATTTTGTGAAGTATAAGAAAGTTAACAATTTTATTTCCTAGAGCCTGGCAGTAATTGTCATATCTTAAAATGTCAAAAACCCCAAATAAGTGTTTTATGCAAACATACACATACACAAATAGCTTTGTGGCTAAGCCAATAAACAAAAGCAGATAATGAGGCACATATTACAAAACTTAACACACATGTTAAGTTTTGCCAAAAAAAAAGAGACTAACTTCCCTGGTTTTATACCCTGTTTTATAAATTTCATAATACAGAAAAGTCACAAATCCATCCTAATAAAATCTAGGTCTAAAAAATACTGTTTATGTAATGAATACCTCAGCTATGATACTGAAACATTTGTTGTTAGGTTCCATAGAAGAGAGATGATAAAGAAAGCCACGGTCTTCCGTATAACTCACAAAGAACTAAGTTTGAGGCTAATAAGTACTCACTCTATTGCTTCTGCAGGAAATGAAACTTTTACATTGCAGTTTCACGTTTGAAATTACCAAGTGATTCTTCAAACGGTAGTGACTGTTTAAAACGCGTGCGTGCACACACACACGCTGCACATGCACCATGGAAATACCAAAATTGAAGATTAATTATCGAGTTAAACTCAGTGATGGTTTTCAATGTTTTAGAACTATAAATGCTTAAAACCGCAGAAAGAACACGAACATGATTCAGGAATGAAGTGGAATTGCTTAGGTAACAATGAACTCTTCTGATTTTTGTCTGTATCACGCTGCCACTCCTCAGCAGTTACAACCTTTCCTCCCTACATAATTCCACTCGCATCCCTTTTCCTTTTCCTTTCCCTTTCCCTTTCTCTTACTTCTACCCTACTGTCCCACACTCCCCATGCCTTATATTCTGATGGCAGCAGAAATGTTTGAAAAAAGTACAGCATCCTGATCTAACTCAATATACACCAAACATCTAAGCTTTTGGACAAGAATTTTCATCAATCAGAACGAAAGCCATTTTACACATACCTTTAGTGTTATCTTCAATGTGAGCAACCACTTTGTGTGTAAACATCTAAAAGGCAAAGGTCACCAATTCAGCCTTACTTTATAGAACGTGACTTCACCTTAATCTTCAATTAACATTTCCTGTCTAGTACTCCAGGTCTTCAAAGATGTCATGAAATGTAGAAGAACAAGTCTAGTAGCTAATTATATTCCCAAATAATGGATCTAAACACTACCCTTACCTGTATGGAATAATTCTTGCTAAGCATATGAGTAAAAAAGGGTATAAATTTTAAAATTTGCTTTTATAATCTTGGCAAAGAGAAGGCCTTCTAAGCAAAACATCAAGGCTAGAAACCATCCCTTAAAGACAGATTTGACTACATAAAAATAAAACAAAAGATGCCATAAACAGAGTTGAAATACAAGCAACTAACTCAAAAATATGTACAACATATATTATATATAACAGGGTTCTTACAAATCAATAAAAGATAACCCAGTAGAAAAATAAAAGCTATTAGTCGGCAAATTATAAAAGAAATGCAAATATCCAACCAACATAATAAAAGATGCTCAACTTCACAAAAGATAAATTAAAATGTAATTATTTCTCTCTAAAAAAAATATTAAAAATGCCTAAATTTGTCAAGAACATGAGAAAACAGATGCTCACACACTATACTGCTGATAAAAGTAAAAATTGGTATAGCCTTTCCAGAGGGCAATCCAACAATATTTATTAAAATTTTAAATGTGCATACCCTTTGTCGCAATAATTCCGATTCTAAAAGAAATTGTAAAAGAAATAAAGATACTTTTATTTGGGGAAACAAAAAGAGAACAGTAATCAACTCTTATTTTCTTTTTTCTTCTCTTATTATTTGAATAAACAGGCCAGTTCAAAGAATGAAAAAGATTTTTGGCAAAGATCACATGAAAGTTCAAACAAATTTCAGCAGAGATAGCTAATAATAAGTTTTTCATGATTTTACTTACAACTATTGGACATAGATTTCTCTTGATGATCCTATAAGGTAAACAAAGCAAACAGAATGATACATCTGCATTTTATAGATAAGTAGAATAGTAGGTCAGAAAAATATAGGTTTTTTGTCAGTTTCGCCACTCACTAACTGAACACCTGGGTTGAAGTAATGACTTCTCTGCCCCTTTTCTTTCTTCGAGTGGCCACCTGCCTTACAGGACCCCTGTGGGGATTAGAGGTGACACACCAAAAGCCTCAAGAATGATATCTGGTCTTCTGACTCCAAATCTTTCATAGTTTTCCACTTGACCATGATTGTCCCTTCAGTTTTTCTGTAACTCTAAGGATCTATGCAAAAGTAGCCATATCCAAAAACTAGTAATGTGGCCTTTCCCCTCTTGTCATTCCTGATACAATCCATCCCTGTATGCTTACAGTCACTGTGCCAGGGACTTTGGAAACATGAAAATACCCTCATGAAGCTAACTGGAAGATAAATTAGTATATAAAGAATTAAATACAAAACAGTATTAAGAGAGAGCTAATCACAAGAGTATAAGAGCACCATGAGCACCTGAGGGACACATGAGCTTCAGGGACAACTTCCCAAAGGAACCAATATCTGACCTAGGCCCTAAAATGATTAGTAGGAGATACTTTTCATATTCATAGAAATCTAAGTTAGAATACACTGCTTTAAGTTCCATACAGCAGGCTTGTCTATCTTACTCACCACTGTAATTCAAGTACAGGGCCAGCACTTCAGATAAGTAAACACTTAGACAGGAGCAGTTATTTCCAAGATCACTGACCTTGACACCTGGGCTCTGAGAGGTTTTTGATTATGCAAAATAAAATTCATGGTAGATTTGATTTTAAAGATGGTATATTAAAAGAATCTTTAATTGGGATTAATTTTCCTATGACTTTACCTATTGCTTTTTGTTTTAAGAAATTTTAAGCGGGTATTAAACTAACATATATTGTGTATTATTTCTGATATAAATTATTAAAGTTGATCTAGAATTGATCCTTGTGATATGGTACTCTTACCATATTACTCTATTGTGGCTACAAAAACCAAAATACTTTCACTTTTAGTAGGATACTTCCTCTTCTTTAAATTTGTTTTTAGCCAAAGAAGTTAATTTTTTTTTTAGAAGCCTAAATAGCTCTCTATATTATCTACATTAATGATACAGCAAAGTCTAGCACAGGCTTCAAGATCTTCTTTCTCTAAGGAAGATATTGGTGAGTGAAAAAGAAGTGTGGTCTGAAAAATCTTGGAACAATAACAAGTTCTAGCTAGAAAGAATTTTAAGGGCCTATATCGAATTCCTTCAATCATTCATTTATTCATTCGACAAATATTTAGAGCCTTCTGTGTGCCAAGAACTATTCTTAGTGCTTGGAATAAATAAAACAGGCAAAAATCTCTGTTCTTATGGCACTTTCATTCCACTTTCTGTTCTTGGTCTTTTGTCTTTAAAAAATAATGCAGAGCATAGGAAATAAAGAACAGACAAAATATAACACTGCTGAGGAACAGAAATGCGCACTAGATGATTATGGTGATTACAGCGAGTAGAAACTGCTTCCCCTACTGGCTCTGGATCCATTCAGTTCACATAAGAGGATGCTCCCAAGATAACGAAAGACCAATTTTCATTCTTAGTTGTGTCAAGAAAGACGTGTGAGATTCTGAAGTCATAATATTTGTATCATATGAGCCTTAAACTACTCTCTCCATGAAATACCGCATCACAGAAAGTTTTCAGGTACCTGATCCAAAATATAAAACAACACTGGTTAAATTAAATGGAAAATGGAAAATAATTATCTAATTTAGGTTTAAAAGAATTAAGTTCTTCATATTTTAATAACTGGGATAACTGAAGTATTTGAAACTATTTATGCCTTACCTAATGGTTATTTCAACAT